ACCGTTACTGTTATATGGATCGCTGAATTACCGTTACCGGTTAACCGATACCGTTTACTTGTTATATGGATCCAATTACCAGTGTCACCATCCGTTCGTTTGCATCCAAGAATGGCCAGATCGGCGCCCCCGTGTGCACCCCCTACCCGTTCCTTACCCGTCTTAGTACAGCTAGAGATGATCTGCTTGTTGTTGCGCAACCTGATCCTTAGATTTTGATCGCAAGCACGCCAGGGTGGCTCTGTTTGTGTGCTCTTGTTGGTCTCATATATATATATTATAAGAAAAGAAGAAGACAAATGAAAATAGAGGGCTGGATCCAAGTGAAAGGAATTAAGACCGCAGGGCAAACTTACGTTTTACGCACATAACAAATTAACCCTCCAACTATTACGAAAATGAAACCACTCTTTTAAGAAACAAGAGATCTAGAAATGAAAGAAAGACAAAGCTAAAAATAGTTACCTAGCCTACAGGGATTATTCGAGGATTAACGAAGAACCATCGTCGACTGAGAACCGATTATTACGCTTAGAGACGACCTAGTGCATCTACGGATCCAAATCCTCAAACCGTCATCGAAGAGCCTTAAGGAAAAAACTGATAAGTTCACCACGTTCATTTTCAAGAAAACAATCGATTTTTCCTTTTTTCTTTTCTCTCTTTAATCTCTTTCTAATACTATTTTTATACTTTTTTGATTAAAAAAAAACTAAACTGTTAAAGGGCTTGATCTTCCTCAAGTTACCTCACTTGAAGTTCTTTAGGAAGAGACCTGCCGTTAATTAATTCGCTCAGAAAGCCAAGATAAAATGAGCTTTAGGTGGTGAAGCAAAATCAGCTCTTTAGACATCCTGTACACCCCTAGAGAAACAAATTGAACGTGGACGAAATGAGCCAGAGGAGAAAGTGCTTCAAAAGTTTCCGTTTTCTAGCTGCTGATATGTCGAGGTGTAACGTTATCTCTCATCCAGTTTTTATATGGCGGTAGGTTTTGGTACTATGGGCGGTGACACGCTGACTAAATAGTTCCTAACACGTTGATAACGCGCTGATTTGAGCATGAAGATTAAGCCGTTAACCGATTGTGGTGTGCTGTAGTACATTACTGCAGATAGTGCGAGCGCTGCAGTTTCATATATAGATGATCTGCTGCAAGATGATATAGCGTAATCTCTTTATGTCAAAGAATAGGACATTGTTGCACGCATGATGATTCTTTTAATCTCTCAGTTCAGGAAAGGGAAAGTTTCTCTTCAATGCCTGGTTAATGGTATGCTCTCGCTGCTGATTGCGCCAGGGGCCCTAGAAAGGCCACAAGCTGTTTCATGCCTACGAGTTTCCATAAATTTAATTAGTATAGCGTGTAATGTTACAAGCTCTCACTTGTTTAGTTGAATAAAGTGACTTATCAGAAGTGAACACCATGCTAATATGTATAATCCAAACTAGCAGTTAGCTGACTCCGCAGTTGTAAGATATTAACTTTTATAGCCATGGTTCGTGTTGTGACGCTTACCACCCTTATAACTGTCGTGGATGCAGTCAAGAGGCACTAAATAGTGCGCGCTCGAGGGTCTCTATTATTGAAATATGTCACTCTATTAAAGTTAATTTGTGGGGCTCAAACACTTTCTTGGTTTATCCGCGAACTGTTTGATGGTACACGCTATTCCAATGATGCTGATTAACATTCTTGCGATATCGAGTCATTTGCGAGGAGTACTAAATAAAATCCGTTTGAGGATTCTATATTTTTTTACCAAATCACTACTACAATATGGCTAAATGTTTTAAACTCTAATATGACTGATAGTTAAAAACTTTAGTGTTTCAGCTTAATACGGGACTCGGGGGCCTTAAAGCTTACCTGCCCTAAAATGGGTCCCTCAGGTATCAGCCGGGCTTCCTTGGAACGCCCCTGGCGCTCTCTCTGACATCCCACTTTATAATCAATTTAAATTTAATCCATGAGAACGTTAATATATAAGTGTTAAAGTTAATGACGTCAATTGTATACCCGCGCCCTATTCTATCTAGAGCCAATTCCTCTTTCACGCAATAGTACTTACGGTTATATTGATCGGCTTGAGGATACGTAATATATATTATAATCTTAAATATACATAAAAAAAAAGTCAAAATTTTGACCACATTGACTTTCTCCCGATCAGACTCTCCTTCCTCCCATTATATTTTGCTTCTGTTTTCTACAGAATTTTTATGCAGGTTTCTTCTACTCTATAAGTATTTTTTTTCGCTCGACATTTAGTAGACATTTGAATGAATTCATTGTTAATGTTTTATATAGATAATAAAAATTAAAGAGTCCTAAAAATTAGATGACATCTTATAAATAGACATAATCTCTAGTTTTGAATATTTATTTCTCGTGCTATTCCCTAATCTATGTAGCCTTTTGGAAGGGACACCCTTTATCGTGAGGTGCTGATCTCAGTATATCTATATAATACCTCCCACTGTGTCTATTGATTTTATTTTCCACAATGGTCCTGTCTTCCATAGCTGTGATCTTGTTTGCTTTCCTTCTATGAGTTATAAGCGTTGTGACCTTTTTTCAATGTTTAGAGATTTGTGTCACTTTACTATAACAAGACATACTTTGTGTATTTTTTGTTCTCTCTGAGATCTTTTGTCTCGATTTACCTCTGTTTTATTAATTTGCTTTCAGAAATTGTAGTATGAATTGAAAAAAACAATACCGTAAATTAGCGTTTCCTCGGCATTGGATCGGGCGCGAAAGATTCCTCCGGTATTGATATAAATATTGTCTCTATCTTCTACAACTTAAAAGAGTGCTCTATATCAATCGTATAATATCTCATAGTTGTATAAGGTATGTTTATCTCTTAGTAAATTTTTTGTTAAGGAGTCTATTGTTAGTGTATTTTTATTGTTTCAATTGATTGAAGCCAACATGTCCAGACTACATTTATTTATTATACATCATGCCATCCTTTACGGTTTATCTCATTATTTATTATGGTCTTGCGTTTTTGTCAGGTATGCTCTATTTCCTCTCTCATATCTGTTTTAATTTATTAGGGTAGGAGGGTAGTCTATTAATGTGACTTTACTTATAAATTAAGAAGACAAAAAAGCAAAACCAATCGAATAGAGATCCTTCAAATGAGTAATACCTAATTGTATCGTGAAATATATATACAAAAAAGAGAGAGCAGCTCGTTGATTTTACTATAACTATAATGACAGGTCTTAACCTAACTCTAAAAGACAATAAAAATAAATTTCAATACCCATTAAAAAAATAAATTTTAGTTCACCAGCTTTCATATTATATTAACAAATGATTTTGACTGAATGTGCTGTAGTGATCCTAAAATTTTGAGGTTAATGTTTATCTCTTAAATAATTTTAAAAAAAATTATTTTTTAACAATTGTCAATATTTTAAAATTAATAGTCCCATTGACACGCGAGGTAAATTCAGCTAATTCCTATATCCTCGGTGCATCACTAATCAATATATCTTAATATTTATTAAAAATTCCTGGTATCTGGAACGATTGTTGTCTTTTATTAGTTATAAAATAACCTATAGAGAAGCGCCACTATTTATTCTAAGTCGTCGTAAAATCTTTATACAAAAGGTTATTAAACCTATATACCAAAATATCATCTGTAAAGTCTTAATTTATATATTGAATCTACGTTTTCTGAATTATTCTAGATATAAAATAAGTGTTAAAATGTCCTCAATTGTAAACTATAAATAAAACCAGATTAATCTGTTGTTAAGTAAAGAAATCCTGAGTATGTTAAAGATTCGCGAGCAATTGTCCGGGTGGTTATCAACCCATACATACGCCAAGATAACATCTAATAAATTAAAAAATAATAAATTTAATACATTAAAAATAAATTTAGTTACCATTTATATTTAAAATGATATTCTTATATCCTTAAAATTTTGTTTTTATTATTTAAATATTAAAAAATTATTTTTAACAATCATATTTTAAAATTAATAGTCATTGACAATAATTATCTATATCTATATCTATATTTTAATTTTAAATTTTGAACATTTTTGTCTTTTATTAGATCACTTAAGATACTTTTTCTAAGTGTAAAATTTAAAAGTTTTACTTATTTAAAATAATTATTTAATTTATATTTGAATTTTGAATATTTTTAATTTTATGTTATGTCTATGTATTTATAACGATTATCTGTTTTTATATCTATGTATCTTCATCACCATCATACTTGAAGATGATCAATAAAAAAAATTGCAAGTGAAATAATTTTATTCATCATCACCATCATACTTGAATATGATCAATTTAATTTTCTAGCAATAATTATATGGTACAAATATCATTTATTATTTAATATTCACTTTATGATTTTAATTTTTTTAAAAATAATAAATAAACTTGGTTTTTCTTTTATTTGCAGTTGCAAAAAGATTTGAATAAAAGAAATCATATAATCAATTGCCAAAATTATAATAATTTGCTTAAGTTGAAAAATGAACATAATTCATGTTTTTTCTAAAAAAAAAAAAGCCTAATAAAAAGCACAAAAATTTAATTTTATTAACACACATAACAGTAATTGATAACTCATCTAAATCTATTTTATAAAAGAAAATCAAATATCCCACGCTGCAGGCCTTTATCTAGTTAAAATAAAATTCTACAAACTGAAAAAGGCAATTATGAAAGTTAAAAGTTAGAACTTAGAACAAAAATTTTCAAACAATCATCTGCTTTATATATATATATAAGCCTAAAAATGATCACTTTGAGAAAAAAAAAATCAAGAAGGAATGTGAATAATTTCTGCTACAAATTAATATGGTTAAAAAACAAATCTAAATATTTAAAATCTAAAATCTACGTACACATAATCATTAAATGATTTTGTAATGCAATAATAAAAGTAAAAAAGGACTATTAGCAAAATAAAAAATAATTTTTTTTTGTTAAAAAAAAAAAAATTAAAGTCAGACAACCTGCCTGTGATTAATTAGACAAATATTAATTGCCAATTATTAAGCAAATAAACTAAAAATGTCTCCTTATAACTAACTCTCAAAACAACGACGAACCAATTCTCAAAAGAATCTAAACCCTAACTTTAATTAACTAAATAATAATTCATATTAAAAAAAATTAACTAAATAATAACTATCCAGTGAAGTCATGCATATAGCTCTTGTAAAGTTCAGCGGCAGCTTTAGCAGCACAAAGACCAGCAGTAAGATTAATCTTATCATCTTCTAATCTTCTGCACTCTATTTCCAAATCATTCATATGCTTACCCAATTGCTCGATAACCGAGCTTTGCCTCCCAACTTCTGCAGAAAGATTCTTACTCTCTTCTCTTAACTTTCTGCAACTCTTGACTTTCATTCCAACATTCTTTATAGTAATCTACTGATGATTCCACAATCTGAATCTTGTCCTCCAAATCACTTTTCTCACTTAACGTTCTGTTATAATTTTTTTCATAATCACAAGCAGCACTGTAGTAATACTGATGAGCTGAATTCGCTTCAGAAAGCTTGTCATTAAGTTCATTTTTCTCTTCTGCCCATCTTTTTTGGGCTTCTGCAAAATCTAACTCCATTTGTTGATAATTTTCTATTAACTGATAAACAGAACCAAGCTTTTCATGTAGTTCTTTTTTCTCCTCATCATCATTTTCATACTTTCTTGAATTCTCTTCTTGAACTTGCTCCAACATTTTTAGACTCTCTTGCAGTTTTTCTTTTTCTGTAGTTTCATATCTAATATCTGCAATAAGTTTCTCTTTCTCTTCCACCAACTTAAGGATTTGCACATCACAGAATTTAACTGAGACATCAAAATCCTTTTTCATCTTTTTGAGTGCTTGCTCAAAGATCCGTTTCTCCATTGTCAATTTCTTGAGGTCCATTTCGAGAAAACCGCATCCACATTTCAATTTAATTATTTCTTCGCCTTTTTGGTCCAGTAGTCCAGGTGGTTTCAGTTGTTCTTGTTCTTTTGCTTCTTTCACTTCTTTCTGGTCTGCTACAGTTGCTTTAAGTTCTATCTTTGATTCATGTTTCGAATTATTCCTGTTTTGAGCCATTTCTTGAATTTTCTCCGATGTCAACTCAGATTTCTTTGCTCTTTCTTCCTTATTCAAGTTCTGTACGTTTCTAATTTTTCTATTTTCCACCTCATTATTAACAATATAATTTGATATGCGTTCCTTGAGATAATCCAAATACACTTTCATTGATTCGAGATGAGCTTTCTCTTTGGATCTTTCTTTCCTAATCTTCTCAGCTTCCTCTTTCGATGCAGCCTCTTTGATGATCTCAGCTTTATCTTTGGATGGTTCCATCTCGGTTTCAGTATTCAATTTCTTGATTAGTTCTTGACTCTTAGTAGGATCCTGCAAAACATATTCTGGAAAGTTAATGGATATATAAATACTATCAACAATAACCAAGGAACTTGATATTAATTCATTCTAAATTGAACAGCACTAAACTTGTATTGTATTTTGTATGCCCCAACGAAATATAGTATAGTCAGACATTATATCAGGTTATTTCAAGAACTTTTTTTATCAGCAACATATATATGTATACTATTAATTTATATCCAAGAAAAACTTAATCATTTTCAGTTTATAAACCTAAGTTACCTAGTAAATGCCAGATAAAAAAAACCTAGAAAACCTCAATTTACATCAGATTGGTTATGTAATTACTTAATCAAAAACACTAATTGATATCAATGTCAACTCATGAAAAAAAAAAAAAAAAGTTAACTTTTAACTTTTAGCATTTTATGAAAAACTACCTAAATTATTAATAGCTAAACTCTAATAAAAGCCGTGTTAGTTAAATATCTTTTAGCGTAAAAAAAAACTAAAAGCTAACTTTTAGATGTTACGTTAGTATTTTATAAAAAATTAATTCCTGTAAATAGATAAAAAAACAGCTAATTTTGCGAAATAAATCCAATTTTATTGTTGCAGACAATATCAATACAAAGCAGTTACTCTAATATATTGAGATCAATAGTCGAGCAAACAAGAAATTGATTAATTAACTCTCTCTCTCTATATATATAAATCAATTACAGGAGAACTTACATTAGGTTTAGCGGTAGCAAATTTTTGGAGAAGGCCATACGAAAGTAGTATATGAGATATAATTATTATCACCAACGACGTAAAAGCGCCTAAACCCTTAACGTAAACCTCAATATCTCCAAAACAACAATGAAAGAATAACACAAAATAGATCAAAAACCGCGCAAAACATATTGTACTAGTACCATTGGAACTCTGCAAAAGAAAGTTAATTACTTAAGTAATTATCCATAACTAAAAACGCATAATTTAAATAAAAAAAACAAGCAGCTATGATCTTGAAAGGGATGGGGGAATACTCGCAAAAGAACCCTAATTTGGATACTCACATAAGTAATGACGATGCCAAAGCAGAAATTAGTGAAAACCAAGAATGTTATGGCCAAACGTAATTGAACTGTATATTGACTTAGAGAAATACAAATAAATTTTAAAATTATCAGTCGCTCAATCCAGAAAATTGCAGTGAAGGCTATGTCATCAAGTTTCGTGTCTTCTTCTCCTCTCTTAACAATATTGGCCATTGTTTGTTTGCTTAGCGGAAAAGTAGCAATACGAAAAATATGATTAGGGTTTTATGGTTTATACATAGGCTATTATATTTTTCCTATATATAGGGTAATTTTTACATAATTTGTTATGGTTTAGGATTGGCTGAGAATCAAATCGGTACGTGAATGGATAAAGAGTTTATTTTTTTAAAAAATAGCAATTAATCTCAATTAATAATTAATAATTAATAATTTTCAAACAAAACTGCAATAGCTAATAGCAATGTTCTGTTCTTATAGGGAAAGTAATTTAGATGGGTATAGGATGTAGAATGAATTTGGTGCTTGGAGGATTTATAGAATCCATTAAAGACTGAGTCCGTATAGGTCAAAATCTTAATTCTTAATTCGAAGAAAAAGAATGGGGTGATTACAGTGTGAATTTAGACTTAAAATTTTTATGGAAATCTTTCATTCCTGCTGCTAAAGAATATAAAAATATTAGAGAAATAGAAAATATATAGAATAAGAAAACAAAGATAATAATTAGTCTGCCTATGTAGTCTACAAGAAAGAAAAGAGGAGAACTTTGGTTTCCTTGGGTCACTGGCCATCTGCCGGGAGTTTCGGATTTATGGCTTGGGTTAGCAATGGGACACTCTAATTGGTTTAATTTAAAGTTTATCAAGTGGTTTGGTTTGCGGACCAATCATTTCTCTCCACTCTCTTTGAATTGAATGTTACACTATAAGTAAAATAATGTCACAATATCAGAAGCAATATATTCCTAAGAATATATTCTTTGACGAGATTCCCACTGAAAGGTTCAATTGTTACATTATAAGTTTAACAATTTATAGGTGAGATTGTCACGCCACAGTTAACAAACAAAATATTATTGTTATTGTTACACTATAATTACAACTATAGTGTTGCAACCTACAAATATAAAATATGTACTGTGTCATTGTTAGTGTAATAATATATTTTGTTTACACCTCAACAATTTGATGCCATGAAAGAGATGTTTGTGGGGAAGAAAAATATTCTTGTATTAGGCATAAGAGGTATAAGAACTATAAATTATTAAATGAAAAAAAAATGTGTAAGAAGTGTAAAAGAGTAAATTATTAAAAGAAAGAAATTTCTTTGTAAGTGCAAGAGAATATTTACTATTCCACTATTCTAATCCGTGAAGCTTGGTAAATTGTAAGTGTATATAAAGGAAAGAACATTGCTTCTCCCATTTATCTACATGAGGAGTGCTTTTCCCTTAGTCTCCCCTTCTTGCTTTGGTAAGGTTTAATTTTTTTTTTTTTTGTTAATATATTTTGTTACATATTTGTTAATATATTATGTTCAGATATGAATATGAGTGTTATAATATACTTGTAAACTTAAAGAATATATTCTTTCTGACACTGTGACATTGTTTTAATTATAGTGCAACATTCAACAAAAAGAGAGTAAAGAGAATATTGTTCTATAAAACTGCTGGACAACATTAATATAAATTAAAATTGATTATTTTTATTGCAGTCATAGTGTAATAATGCATTTGTTAAATTATGACTAGAATAAAAGCCTTTGAAATGTCAACAAAACATTGTTATGATAAATATCAATAGTTCATAATATAAATTTATGGAAATTTAAACATCTAATTTCTACAATTAATGAGTTAAAGATAGCATAATAAAATTATTTGAGAAAAAAATTAAATAAAATCAAAATTACCTTGTTTATGCTCAATATTGAATCACCTCTATTTATCTTCAAGACAAGCAACCGTATCTTCTATTATCAACTTGCTGTATAAAGTGGTTAGAAATCAAAAGACACATTATAGTACTTACCCTTTCATAAACTAATGTGGTTATGGATTTATAGCTATTAAGGAAAATAAATTGGGCACGCTTCGCATTTCAGTGACCTAGCAGCCAAATTATGTTATGCTGTTTAACCTAGCTTTTTAACTACTGATGGAAGAGCATTTAGCATCTCAAAGGGACCTATAAAATGCTATCATTGAAGTACGAGAAAATATCGGTCAATTAGAGGTTACAAAGCTGACCCAACTGTAGGGTAGAGCAAACCGTTTGTTAAGTTCAAACCGAAATCACAAAATATAAACCGAAGTTTCTTTATAATAAATCAAACTGGAAAGAATTTTTGTAATGAATCGAATCAATCGAACTGAATCAATCGGTTTGGTCTATTTTTATCGTTTTCACCGTTTCAGTTTTGTTCTAAATCCAATCACTGAATATTTATGTAACCGAATTGAACTGAACAATAAATTTGATTCAAACCGAATAATCTGACTGACCGAACCTCTCTTGGGCATCAGACCGAATAAACCGAAATGAGTCGGTTTGATTTTCAATTCGGTCCTACCGATAATTTTGCTCGCCTCTACACATGAAAATATCCTTTTAACCTAAGAAGATTATAATATATGTTTGACCCAAGAGAACGTGGGTCGACCTCGGCCGTTCTATCATTATCTAGGCAGCCTACGGTTAGTTAAGTGGGTCAAGGAGCAAATTGATATTTAGAGGACATCAATCAATATGGCCCATCTAAATTTATAATTAGACTTGGGCCAAGATTATGGAAGGCCTCCAAAGCAAAAGGAATATCTAATATATGGTGCCTATCCTGAAAATTATTAAGAATATCTTACAAATTAACTTGATCAAATCTTTTTTTTTTCTTTTAAGAAACTTGATCAAATCTAATATTCTGAAAATTTTCAAATACATTTTTTATATTATTCTATGCATCTCTCTATAACCTACGGGTTGTGACTCAGTTGGCAATATAGACTGAGCAGGTGGGAAGAGTTCGGGTTCGATCCTCACTAAATGCACTTGCAATAGAAATGTGAGAAACCTTAATTGTGACTAAGTTCCGAGCTGGAAAAAGACATCCTGATGATGGAGTCCGAATACCGGTAATTTATTTTAAGAAAAAATGCATCTCCTATATGATAATCCTTCATTAATTTGTTAGACATATGATTCTATTGCTAGGGAAACTCATTCTACAATAACAGTAGCAACATGTAGAAATAAGTGTAAGTAACGAAAGTAATAGCTAAAATGAATTAAGAACTTAACACTAAAATATTTAAAAACTTTTCAGAAAAAAAAATTACTGCTCCGTTTATTTCTGTAAACTAACTTACTGAAAAATATTTTTGTGGAAAACATTTTCCTTGAAAAATATTTCTCAAATAACTTATTTTCTATTATTTGGTTATAATATTGAAAATTAGTTAAAAATATTAAAGTTTTTATCTCATAAGATCATAAAAGATATTAATAATAATAGACATTTTATAATTTAAAAATTTTATTGTTAAATATGAAAAGCATGCAAAAAAAAAATGTAAATTATGAAAGTCGTCGGTGGCTGGTGGTAAATGATGACTGGTGGTAGTGACTACGATGATTAATAAATTAAAAAATATATAAATATATAAGGTTTCCCAATGTCCGAAAAATGTTTTACTCTCTCAAATATGAGAAGTTATTTCCTTAAAAAATGACTTAATTTTCCATTGATTAGGAAAACATTTTCCATTTACACATTTTCCTGAATACTCCAAACAATGGAAAATTGTAAAAAATATTTTCTGTAAATTATTTTACGAAAACAAACGGACCCTAACATGAAAAATAATCTAAATTTCACAGTCCAACATGGCCTATTTCGTTTTCCAAATGAGCTAACTCATAGATGTTTTAAGTTTATTAACTATTTAATAATCAAATAATAATTTGCTAAGTGAGGCATAATTTTCCAAAAATAACTTAAGAAAGAACATGAGTTAATAAGAACTAAGAGATCGTACATGTCTTAGATTATCTAATATAATTTGGATTAGACAGAGGCTGTAAAAGGCAGGGACGAGAAATTAAAAAAAAATAAAGAAATAAACAGAAAAAAATAAATAATTTGTTTCAAGTTTGGTAGTTACATTTTAGTGATATTAAAATACTTTTTAATTTATTTTCATTTTTAACTCTGTCAAGTGGTTGCATTTTTCTAAAAACAAACACATAAATGCGTAAACTAATTTAATTTAGTGGTTAAAATGCATTTACTTACTTAATCCTGGTGATTGTAGAATTGAGCCATAGAATTAAACATTTTAAGACTCTAAACAAAAGAACAGGAGTGAGAGGATATCTTTAGTAGTAAAAATAAACAAACATATACAGAATATAAAGAATTTTAGCGGAAAAAAAAGATCCATAGACCCTTTTTAATATGTAGATTGGTACTGTTAATAATTTTATGATGTTTGATCATATGAAATGAGAAAACAACAATCACGTATTATTTTGTTACTTAGATAATAAACGAATGGTTTTTGCTTGTGAAACATCGTAACATTATAATAGAAGAATGCCTTAGGTTTCATGCCGTATGACATACATAGAATATTCACCGAGAAGTTCGCAATTAAAAGAGATAATTTATATGAATAATAATTATATAATAAATATAAGTGACAAGAATTCCTTACAAAAAGATAATAAACTGTTAAAATTAAATTGCAAAAATCTTCGACTATTTTCATTTACTGAAATCTATTCTTAATAATTTTATTGTCAATATTATCAAATATATATCTTTTAAGGGTAAATCATTAAATATACTCCAAACTTTACGTATTGTAATAATTACACCTTAAAATGAACTTAACCTCTCAGGCACCCCAATTTAGGCATGACCGGTTCAAAATTTTTAAAATGTTGAACCTGAACAAGTCCTTGAACAACCGGTTCCGACTCTGGCCGGGTCCGGTGCGGTTCCGTTGAACCGACTGTTCCGATCATGGTTTCCGGCGATATATGTTTTTTTTTTAAAAAAAAAAATCAGTTTTAACGTTACATCTTTTTTTTTGAAAATATTAATATGAGTTTAAAAAATATTGGTAAATTTTATTTTAAATAAATTTTAGAATACTCATACTCATATAAGAATAAAATTATACTCATACTCATATAAGAATAAAATTAATTAATTTTACAATGATCAAATAAGTTATCACATTATTTTCA